TCCATTGCCTAGGAGATTGTTTCAAACCATACAAGGATTTCTTTAACAAACACACATAATCAGATTTCTTAGCATCCACAAATCCAACAGGTTGTTTCATATATATTTTCTCATATAATTCACCATGCAAAAAAGCAGTTTTAACATCCATTTGCTTTAATTCCCAATCAAAGTGAGCAACTAAAGCAAGCATGATACGCACATTGGTGAGTTTAACAACATGAGAAAATATTTCGGTATAATCAATACCCTCACGTTGAGTGAAACCTTTTGCTACGAGTCTAGCCTTAAACCTAGCCGAATCATTCTCTTGTTTAACCTTATACAACCATTTGCAATCCACTAAGGAACAATTATCAGGTTAGGAACAAGAGACCAAGCATGATTCACATGCAACGAATTAATTTCTTCATGCATAGCATTCATCAATTTCAAAGAATTCACAGATTTAAGAGCTTCCTCATAAGACTTAGGCTCACAATTATCGATGGATTCAAAAACACCAAAAGCATATGAAGTCATGTGAAAATCATCAAACTTAGAAGGTTTCTTACACTCCCTTCTAGTCCTATCTCTAGCAAGTTGATAATCATGCAAATCAAAATCATTTTCAGGCACATTTTCCACATATTCATCATGCATATCGACATTTTCATCATTTTCAGCATACTGAATTTCAGTTTCAGCAATCAGATTTTCATTTTCAGCAATTTCAGCAGGTCGATTATCAAGCACAACACGTTCGGTTTCAGTTTCAGCATGCATATTTTCAAAATTATCGAAATCACTTAAACCACTCAATTGCTCCACTGCATTTGGAGCATTTTCAGATTCATCAGGTAAAGGAGCAGGCAAAGAAGCAATTAAACATAGCATTTCAGATTCATTGAACACAACATCATGACTTATTACGACCTTAAAGTCGGGTACACTTCTAAGCCACAATCTATAACCTTTAACACCTTCAGAATATCCTAAGAAAACACATTTCATTGAGCGAGGTTCAGGTTTATCAAGTTCCGTATGACAAAATACAGCACAACCGAAAACACGCAAGTTTGAAAAATCTGTTTCCTTTCCAGACCATATAAACTCAGGACACTTACCATTCAAAGGCACGGAAGGTGACCTATTTATTAAATAAGCAACAGTTAAAATGGCCTCACCTCAAAACTTTTTTGAAAGACCAGAACTAGATAACATACATCTCACCCTTTCAAGTAAAGTTCTATTCATTCGCTCGGCAACACCGTTTTGTTGAGGGGGTATAAGGGACAATTTTATGCCTTTGAATACCAAATTGAGCACATAATTCATCAAACAAATTATTGCAAAATTTAATTAGTCCTAAGAATTTTGATCTTTTTACCAGTTTGGTTTTGAATCAAGGTTTTCCAAGTCTTAAACGTTTCAAAAACATCGGACTTATTTTTCAAAAGGAACACAAAGACCTTTCTAAAAAAATTATCAATCACAGACAAGAAATACCTACTCCCGCCATGTGTTGAAACACTAGCGGGACCCCAAACATCGACATGGAAATAATCAAGAATTTCAAAACACATAGAGGGTTTGGGGGAAGGTGAAATAGGAAATTTAACACGTTGTTGCTTGTCAAGCACACAAGAATCACAAAATGGCACACAAGATAATTTATCTTTATCAAAACAACCCACTTTATCCAAAATTTCAAGACCCTGACTACTCATATGACCTAAACGTCTATGCCAAATATCAGTTTGGTGCACATGAACAGCATTCACAGAAATTTCAGCATGTGACTCACAAGTAGCAGTGCAAACATACAAGTTTTTCCGTTTTTCAGCTTTGAAAATAACCAATGAACCTTTCATAATTTTCATAACCCCTTTACTCCATTTACCTTCTAACCCATCATCCACAAGGGCAGAACATAAAATCAGGTTATGGCACAAGTCGGGAACATGACGAATATTTTTCAAGCAAAGCACATAACCGGAATTAAATTTAAGGCACACGACACCAATACTAGCAACATCACAAAGTTTCTCATTTGCCATAGAAACAGAGCCATTTTCAACCTCTTTGTAGTTTGAAAACAAATTTCTAAATAAAGACATGTGAAAAGTGCAACTGGAATCAACAAGCCATTCATTTTCACAAAGATGAGAATGCAAATAATTCACATCAGCATGCATATCACATATTTCAGTCACCACAAACACATCACCAAGATTATCACTACACGAGGCCACATTAGCTTGATTCTTTTTGGATTTA